GTGTGTGTGTGTGTGTGGTACAGTGTGTGCGTAGATGCAGCAGACAGACAGGTCTCAGTTGGTTTGGTGTCCTCTGCTTACTTGTAAATAAAACTTTTGGCCCGTAATTTATTTTCCTCATTGTAGCGACCAGAGAGGGGAGGGGATATATCCAGTCTCTGATAGTGTTACGTTATTATGAGAGTGCTCTGTTTGATTCTGAAATTGTGTGTGTGTGTGTGTGTGTGTGTGTGTGTGTGTGTGTGTGTGTGTGTGTGTGTGTGTGTGTGTGTGTGTGTGTGTGTGTGTGTGTGTGTGTGCATCTGTAGCCTGCTATTGTCGCATTATACCGCACTGTGAATGAATTAAAAGTAAATATATAAGTCATCATGAACACATCTGTCCATCAGACAGAGGGCTGCTGTGCCTCCTGTCATCATTAATGGACGTCTCTTTAAAATGACCACTCAGAGGAGAGGAGTTCTCATTTCTCTAACCGCCTGCTGCTTCCCCTCCTCTCTCCTCGGCTCCCCCCCTCGGCTCCTCCGCTCGCATCTACTGTGGGCGGGACTAAGTCTCGAGGAGGGGAGTTAGAGAAATGAGAAAGGGCCCTAGGTTAGATACGTTCGCTAGCTATTTCACTGCAGATCTGCAATAATATGTGAATTATAATGGAAGTGTTTTGGGCTGTTGTAGTGCGTTGCACCATAGACTGTACTGTGAATGTGAAGGCTTGCACCTGTCGGCCACCGTATTTTACTTGGAACAAAACATGTTAATTAATTAACTAATGCCCATTGAAACAAACAAAAAAAGGCAAGTGAATAAAATAGAAACATCAGTAAGGATTGCACAGTAAATTATTTTTGTGCCACTTAATCCAATAGGAAGGACTCCAATGTTTACGCTGTGAACATAAAAGCCTGAGGGAAAAACATTAACAGTATACACCAAGCAAACGTGCATCGAACTAAGTGGTTCAATCTGGAAACCGTATACAGCATTAATAAAATAATACTTTTGTTTTTACCCAATATTCCCTTGAATTCTTGAAGATAAGGTTGGTTTACTTGATGCCTCCCGAGTGAACCAATACGAAACTGAGAACCTTCTTGATGAATTGTAGTAAATGGGGGCCATATACAGCACAACTCAAAACATACATTTACGAATTCTAACACGAATCTTGCGCTTTAATCCAAGATTAATTTATCCTGTCGTATGCTCAATACGTCCCAAACACATGTAACTTTATTATTGAGTACACTTCCACATTAAGACGTCACTGACAGTAGGTAAAAGAGATTTGATATAGCTATGCTGTTGCTAAATTCATCCACAATTTATTTTTTAAATCCTACACTCACTCTGGAGGCTTCAAAGACACACTGGGTGAATAACTCATGTACATTTGGAGGGTGAAGCATTCCTTTAATTATTGAATGGATTGCCTCTGTTGCGACATTTGCAGATAAAACACAAAGCAAACCTCAAGTCAGTGTCAACTGTTGCCTGGTCCTTAGTCGTTTTTTTTCAAACACACAGTTTGAAGTATTTTAATCCAAAATGTCCCAATATTGGTTGAGAGTTTATATGGTGAACACTGCAGCAACAGTTTTCTGATATGATCTGCCCTTTAACCCTCAACTGTAAAGCCAAAGCCTCTTAGTGGCCACCATTGATTACCCGTGGCTGTATATGTTTGCACTTCAAATCTGGTTCAGGTTGTCATTGGTGCAATCAATCAAATCAGTCATTTTAAATGCCACAAAACGGATGTCTTGGAAGCATGTGCTCTAAGTTAATGAATATCAATCTCTGGGTTTTCCCTTAAGCATCATATTCCGGCTTGCAGACAGTAGCAAATAGGACGCAGTGTTTGCACTTATTTCTTTCTGTATAGAAACAATACCCTAGTTTTGTGCAGTATTTGGTAGAACGACTTACTACTACTGAAATGTTGTTTTCCTACAATATGAACTGTGTTAATTACGTTGTGTAACAGGGACACTTAGTCTTTAGAAGAGTTGTTGCTATGGAAACATTTAATGTTTCAATTATTTAAGAATGATAACACACCAGACACGTTTTAGCTGCATTATTTGGTAATCTGTCTAACAGAACAAATGTTTTTTGGTTTTAATCAAAACCTTCTGTCCTGACGGCCACAGTGGCTTCTATCTATAGCGTCCTTTATCCTGTTGTAAAATGTAGTTTTCATTATGTATTTATTTATCAATAGTCAGTAATAGAGTGGTGCCCAAATGAGTCCTACACCCAGAAACGAGCCAGCATTTTAGCCGTCCCTTGTCTCAAAGTCCACGAGGTATATGGTGAAAACAAGCTAATGAGATTTTCACGCTTTGTTCTATGACATGAAATATGTAGTACTGGTGAACCTCTAAAGCTTTTACATGTCTTAAAATGGCGTTGTTTACAAGAGACTACTAGACTTCATCCACCAAACTTGATCTGCCTTTAGCTTGAATGTCTTGATGTGCAGCCATGCTACGGTGATGTAGTTCAGTTATACAGTAGCCTAACTTTAGCTTAAAGGGGACCTATCATGCAAATGCACTTTTTTATGTCTTCTACACATAAATATGTGTCCCCCGGTGCGTCGGGGAACTCATGTAGCGTCAGAAAATAAAACCCTCTCTCTTTTCCTCCGTACCCAAATCTTTTAAAAAAGGGGGGTACAACGAGCGGATACAGATTTGCTGCCGAAATGACGTCAAATCGGCGGCGGACCCACAGAAAGTTGCGATCAGAAACAATGCCTGATGTGTTTTGGACGTAATCTCGTCTTTGTTTACATTAGCACGCCTCGCTAACACTCAGAGCTAAACTGTACTGTAAAGCACATGTGTTTAAAAAGCAGGAAATAATCTTTGATGTGGTTTAGAACAGGATGACGTTTTATCACAGCAGAATTTAACTTTATCTCCGGTAGAATTCTGATCAGGCATTAGCTCCGCTTCCTCTTCTTTTCTTTTTTTCAAGCTAAGGACCCAAAATCCTTGTTTCTCTAACAGGGCTGCAAAAGACGGGTATGAGCAGTATGAGGCATGGTTACAATGGGTGAACTGTTTGGTATTTTAAGCAAAAAAATTCACAGACATGTTTTGTATAGGTATGGTCCTACAATATATTTTTCCAATATAGTATATTAGGTCCACTTTAACTGAAGATATTGTAAATAAATGTAGTGAGTAAAAGTACAAAGTCCCATCAAATGTAAATACTCAAGTACAATACACGAGCATCTCAAAATTGTTCTTAAGTATAGTACTTGAGTAAATGTACTTAGTTACTTCCCACCTCTGGCTAAACTAACCCGCCGTCTGCAGTATCTTATTATTTACCATAAATGCATGAGACAATCTTCTTATTTCTCTTTAAAAAAAATATATTAGGTGCATTTCGCAAAATGTTATGCTTTTGCTGATAGCATTTCTGACTAGAGTTTCAGATCCAGCCAGACATCTGAGAACCCACTGAGACAAGATACAGCAAGAAAGAAAAGGATGAGTAATGAGGAAGAAGCCACAGGTGAATGAAAACACTAGAAGCTCTTCTCTGTGCTGAGCGTGTGTCTCTTTAAGAGCTGGAGCGTGCTATTGAGCAGAAGGGAGGGGGGTTGGTTGGCTGCATTGGAATAGTCCTCTTTAACGAGCAGATTTGCTGAGAGAGAGACATACACACACACACACACACACACGGATCAGGAGAGAGAGAGAGAGAGTAATACAGAGATCCAGCTATAGGAGGAGAAGAGATTGTGAGACCAAGACAGGAGGCAGGAAGGCAGGCTGTGCGTCAGTCGGCACCCCATAGGGAGACATTGACACAAGCAGGAGATGCTGAAGAGGACAGAAAACACCATAACAGGATCATATAGATGGATGTTATTTCATCAGGCGGGCAACCCGAAGGCAGCCCACGCAGAGGATAAACCACTTATGGACGCAGTGGATTAAAGATATAGAGACAGACTGAGAGAGGGGGAATAGAGGAGGATAAATTAATCAATTCAGTTGTTTATTTTCATTGTCTGTGTGTGTGCACTTGCTGCCAGAAAGATTGTGTGTGTGCCTACAAATCGTGTGTGTGTGCATCAGGCTGGAGACTGCATTGCTGCTCCCCGGCACAAACAGGACAGACAACAAAAAGAAGGCAGCCAAGCAGATTACCTTATGTGATTTCTGTCTCTTCCTCTCTCTATGCGTGTGTGTGTTCCTTCCATGCACAACCAGGCACATTGTGTGTGTGAAGGCTGAGAATAAGAAGAGGATGGGGAAGCTTGAAGTGATCTACAGATTCTAAGCCTGACTTTAAATGGTCTTCTATTTTGTCTGATCATCAGGACCGGACTCAAAGAAAGAACTGTCTTTTTCTTCATCCCTCAACACACAGCTCAAGTTTGGGCATTGCTGTTGATCAGATGGTTTGCTTCTTTGCCGGAGAATTAGAGGATTGAAGGGTTGCCACCGGGGAGTCTTCTCGACTCTACACCCAAGAGAGGTGGGGGCATCATCAGGTAGGAGGCAGCAGAACGCGGGGGTCTGAGCGCAAAGCCAGAGAGGAGTAGGAGGAAGAGTTGTGCGTGTGTGTCGTTGACTGTGTAGGCAGGCCAAGGGGCCAGCCGGGGGGCCGGAGATGGTTTTAACTCCTGCTGAGAGAGGATAATGGCAGCTCTGGGCCCACTCCCCTCCTCTCTCACCTGCATCTGCCACAGACAAGCTGAGAAGTGCTAGCCCATGCTACAACAGCTCAGCAAAAGGATGGTGTGAACAGCATCACCCTTTCCCACCAAGCCGGGAGACCCCTGACACCCCAGTGAGGGGCCACGTTGTGTTGCTCACCTCTTTTCTCCCTGCTCTTCTGCAAACCAGCTGAAAACAAGGGGTGGCATTGCTTGATTTCTGTGGGAGTTGTCTCCCCCTCCCTCCCACTCTCTCCTCCTCCTCCACACCCCTAACCTCACCCACCTCCACATTTAGCTCCATGGATTGCTTTTAGCACCAACCTGTCCGTCTTCTTTCTCACTACGTTTTCTTTTTTTTTTCTTTTTCTTTTTGTCGAGGCTTCAGGGGAATTGCCAAGACCTGTTTCATGCATGTCCACTGGCGGCAGGTTCAACTTTGACGATGGGGGGTCATACTGCGGAGGGTGGGAGGAGGGCAAGGCGCACGGCCACGGGATCTGCACAGGACCCAAGGGCCAGGGTGAGTACTGCGGTTCCTGGGCCCATGGATTCGAATTGCTGGGCGTCTACACCTGGCCCAGCGGGAACACCTACCAGGGCACCTGGGCTCAGGGCAAGAGACACGGCGTGGGCATCGAGAATAAAGGCCGCTGGGTGTACAAGGGCGAGTGGACGCATGGCTTTAAGGGACGCTACGGCCTGCGGGAGAGCACAGGTACGAGTGGGAAGTACGAGGGGACCTGGAACAACGGGCTGCAAGACGGATACGGAACAGAGACGTACTCAGATGGAGGTAAGATTGGGAGTTGAGACACGAGCAGATGCATTGTGGGTGTTTTGAGGGTGTATGAAAGAATGTGTGAACCAAACAGTTCTTGTCAAGAAGCAATCTTTGAGATTGATTGACAACGGCCGTCTGTGAAAATGACTTGTCACTGGTGAATGATTGACGTGTCGATGAAGAGTTACAGAGGTGACAGGAATTCGTCTGGAGGTCTCCTCGGGTCATCCTTTAGTCTGCACACACACACACACACACACACACACACACACACACACACACACACACACACACACACACACACACACACACACACACACACACACACACACACACACACACACACGCACACACGCAGGCAGGCAGGGGGTTGCATCAGGACAGGCAATCATAATGATTTTCTATCTCCTCTAATTTTCTCTCATTAACTCTTCGTCTTTTCCGCTCTCATTTTCTTCCCTCTCTACCCTTACCCCTAATTCTGGCTGCATGAGGACACACTGCGTTTTTTGGAGGCCTTCAATCCAGGCCAGGCAGTCTTGAGGGATGTATAAAAGGTTGGAAGGACAGAGGAGGACAGCAACTCCAAAGTAACAAGTCCCAAGAAAACAAGTGTTTTTGGAAAAAAAGATTACGATGTCATTTTAAAGGGAGTGCATACTGTGTAGACGTTAAAATCCATGTCTCAAACTTGATTTCCCCACTTTAACGTACCATTCCACCTTAATAACCCCTGTAGGCTACGCTCTAAAATATCTTGTTAAATATACCACATTAGAAAGATAAACACTTCACTAGCATTGTAGGAGGGAGCTCCAAACGAGTGAAGTCTTAGTTGTAGTTATTGTGCGTCCAGACCAAAAAATACTAAGGCATTTCAACAAGCCAAGATTTAGTTGGTTTTAATCGGAGTCTGGTGCGGTTTGTTTGGGCAAAAAACTAATGCAGCAATCGTACCCTCGTGCGGTCTATAACAACCTGTCAACGTACACTTGCGAGAGGGGTTTTGGAATGTTTCCAAGTGGACCCTAGTACGTTTCAAATTTAAGGAGAAGAACATTTTGACTTTTTGGGAGAAAGTGAATCAATCATTGTTGTGTGTTCGCACCAGGCTTAACTTCGATACACTTAATGGATATTTTGGCCCTAATCAGAGGCGTTGGTTATGAACACTCTTAAACGTGTTGGGTAGAAACACCCAAAGCACGATTACTGCTAGTACCGACAACAGAATCAGTGGTTCGTTCTGCTCCGTGATCCGCTGGTACTGTTTTCTCCATCATTTTTTATTTTAGTGAAAGGCTGAATGTAAAGTGATTTGAAGGGTCTTGAAGGAAGACTGGATAAAGCGTAGACCCTCCAGAAAAACGCGGGCTAAAATCCTTGATTATGCGATTAAACATGCAGGGTTTTTATGTGATTTTATGCGGTGAAATTGCGGGAAGTCGCGAAATATGCGGAGAGTTGCGAAATATGCTAAATATGCGGGAAAAAAGAATAACCATTTTTTAAAATATTGGGCTGTCTTATTTATTCTCTCTCACACACAACCTGCCACTAACGTTAAACCCCTTTACTATTCAATTAAACACATTCAATGTTTATTTATTGTAAAAGCAATTGGGCTATTTTAATCTCACACACACACACACACACCCCCCCCACACACACACACACACACACACACACACTTCTCCGCCTCATTCCGTTTTCATTTTCTCGTTCGTTATCTGCAGCTTCAATCTTGTAGGCTACTCACTTCGTTTCTTGTAGCCCTCGAAAGGGTTTTGGAGGTTGATGCCTCGGTGAACGTGAGTTGAATGGCTTTCTTGTCCGCAGCAGCAGAAAGCATTTTCGAATGTTTGAATGAATCAAAGTGGGTCGTCCCCGTCGACTTTCTCTTATGCTCCAACACACAGTTGCACGGGGTGCAGAATAGTTTCCCCCCACTTTCTGAAAGACATCGGGGTACTGCTTTGCCCGGTCTTTAGCAGGAATGTTCATCGTGTGAGTTCCAC